TTACCCGTACCCATACCATATATATATATAACAGATATAAGGGATATCGAAACCCAAATACAAAGAGTAGAGTTTTTCAAAATTACAACAAGGTTAGCGATATATGATTTAGTTAAAGCACACTAAAGCCTAACCTCAACTCACAACATATCAACATTTGCAAATAGATAAACCTTACAAAAATCCCCCACAAGAGAAGAATAAAGAAGCACTTAATACACCTTATGAAGTCAATTATACCTCCTCACCATAAGAACCAACTACCCTATCCACACCCGTTGAAATAGATACATGGCCCAGGATTGCTAATCAATTGAGAGAAACAAAAGGCAAAGGTTGGTTTGAGGGTGGATAGCCACCTCCAACAAAAAATGAGAATGTCTCTAACTATATACCTTGTTCAAAGGTGCCATTGTCAAAGATACACTTTTGTACCTCCACAAGGTCCACATAGTAGGCCATGTTTCTGCCTCCGACTTGTTTTGAATTGTTGTTAGGAGGAAAGAAAAGTGGTAAAAAAATTTGCCTGGGAAGAGGTGCAGGTGTTAAGTCTCAATTTTACCTCTTTTTGGATGAGATTTATTGAACGAATTCCACTCATCCTCTGAACCATTGCAATATAATTGTTCTCTTTTTGGTTCATTTTGTGTGCAGATATAACTAACCCAAATTTAGCTAACAATACCTTAATACACCTCATTTTTGTGTAGGTATTGAGTTAGAGAAGTGAGGATTGAAGATTCTTAGGATTAGGAATCCAAGAGGCTAAGGAGCAGAGAAGAAATTGCGTCGGGCGCAAGATGACTCGCGCCGGGCTTGAGAAGAACAGAGTCTGGAAGCCATGGCGCCGGGCGAGAGAATACACGCGCCGGGCGTGGTCGAGACAGAGAGTGCTTGAAACTCTCTGGAAGACATCGCGCCGGGCGTAAAAGGAAATTGCGCCGGGCTTACACTGAGGCAGAAAGTGCACAGAAGAGTCCGCGCCGGGCGCGAAGACTTACACGCCGGGCGCGAAACCCTAATCTGATCTCCCTGGCTCGTATTTGAAGCCATTTTCGGGGGAGAAACCCCCATTCTCACATTGGGCGCCTCCAGGAGCTGCGGAAGGGATTCCCAGGGCTTGGGATCGTCCGTGTGCGGATCTTTCCTTCGGTTCTTCACTTCCTCTTCCATCTCTATTTTGTATTTGCCCTCATTGTTGTGAGTGGTTTCACCCATTTTGTGGGGTTAGATGTAACCAACGTACTCTATTGTAATCTTTACGGTTTTAATGATATATATACATGTTGTTTTATTCTTTGTTGTGTTTGTTTCTATTCTTAATGCTTGCTTTGGATTGATCACCCTTTGCATGATTTAAGGTTCCATTGAGTATTGGGAAATACCTTTGAAATTAGTTCTGGAACATATGCCTAGTGGAGATTGTATCTAGGGATAGAGCTTGACCCATTAGTAGTCTTAAACCCTAGCCCGTAATGCGGGTGTAGATATTGGGTACTCAAGGGATTGATATTCAATATCCGCACCTAGGCTCTTTCTCTAAGGGATTAGGTTTGAGTAAACTCTTGGGTTGACTAAGCAATGAATTCAACAAGAGATTAAGGATACATTAGTGTTACGTTTGGTGAAATCTGACCCCCACAACCTCACAATACCACAATACCATTCCTTACCTTTTCCACTCACAAAACAATATTTATTTACAGCTTTCATTCCAATAGTCACAACTTTGAATTCACTGCACAAACTATGAAATTGGAATTATTCTTTAGTCACGAATAGTCAATAAATGCTTATATTACCTTCTAATCCCTGTGGATACGATATTTTTACTACTTGAACGGCCGATATACTTGCCGTGTTTGAGACCGTTAATAGAATCTAACTGATTTATAGATTAAAACAAAAGTGTTTTAACGGAAATCTCAACAGCAGGATAGTTTAACCA